TGCCTATTTTCATATTTCAATACATCCACGTCATAGGCGCTTCCTTGGTTTTGCAGTAGACTCTGCAATCTATGAATTCAAGGTGTTACCATTTGGATTAGTCACTGCACCAAGAGTTTTTTCGAAGTGTACGGCCCCTGTCTGCGCACACCTTCGTCTACGTGGAATTCGGATATACCCATACCTTGATGATTGGTTGTTGGTTTCTGACACAAAAGCAGGACTTTTGTCTGCTGTTGATATTACTTGTGCTCTATTACAAGACCTTGGACTCTGTATTAATCAACAGAAGTCTTCTCTTCTCCCTACACAGATGATCAACTTTTTCGGAGCCCGGCTGGATTTGACGTTGACAAGAGCCTTTCTTCCTCAAGGCAGACAGCATGCTATTGCTCGGTGCATCTCTCGGATTCGACGAGAAAGAACTGACCCTGCCCGGTCTATCCAGAGCCTGTTGGGACACATGTCTGCATCCATCGCCGTGGTTCTGCATGCAAAACTCAGGCTACGCCCTCTCCAGTTATTCTTCAACAGGATGTTTCGACCACAGAGAGATCCACCTACCAAATGGATTTGCCTCCTGGCCTCCATTTTTCAGTCCCTGTTATGGTGGATAGAATCAGCCAATTTAAATGTCGGTGTCCTCTTTCGACCTCGGTATCCTACAGTGACTCTCGGTACTGACGCGTCTCTTCTCAGATGGGGAGCCATTTGCTCCGACCTAAGTACCCAAGGGGTGTGGAGTCCCCGGGATTCCAGGAACCACATCAACTTCCTGGAACTTCTTGCTGTTTTCAAAGCCCTGCAATCGTTCGAGGATGTACTTCTTCACCAGGTTGTCCAGGTGACCTCAGACAACATGGCTATGGTCTTTTATTTGAACAAACAAGGGGGAACCCGGTCCCCGAAACTAGCCCGCCTGTCGATACAAATTTGGGACTGGTGCATACCGAGAGGTATCACTCTTCTAGCAGTACATCTTGCGGGCACGAACAATGTAGAAGCAGATCTCTTGAGCAGACATATGTCGTGGTCACACGAATGGGAACTAGACCATCGGGTTCGCGACAGACTGCTTCACCGCTGGGGTCCGCCAGACATAGACCTGTTTGACACACAACAGAACAGGGTGTGCACGAACTATTGTTCCAGAGTGGGGATAGGACAGGGGTCGTCTGGGGACGCCTTCATGATCCCCTGGAACGACATGGCCTTTTATGCTTTCCCACCGATCCCCCTCATCATGAGAGTCTTGGCAAAGATCATTCACGAAGGGGCCACAGGGCTACTAATAACCCACTGGTGGCCACGCCAACCATGGTTCTCAACTCTCCTTCACATCTCTTGGGAGGATTTTCTCCAACTCCCTCTTCTTCCTTATCTCATTACCCAAAGGGAGGGCACGATCCGACACCCAGACCTGTTGTCGCTGAAACTGACTGCCTGGAGGATCCGATAACCATGTGTGCTGCACCGGTGTCGACACCACTGGCAATCCCTACTACCTCTTCTTCACAAACTTTACATCCAGATCTGCGATATATTCTCGAATCTGCATTAAGGCCATCCACTAGAAAATCGTATGCAGCAAAATGGCGTAGATTCTCCAGCTTTGCAGAATCCCACTCATTTCCAGTGTCCTCGGCGTCCATTCAGCAGATTCTTCAATTCCTCTTCGAATTGCACCAGTCTGGACTTAAACCTTCTTCCATAAAAGTATATACAGCGGCGATTTCTTACTACCGTGGAACTGTCCACAGTTTCTCCATTTTTTCTCAACCTTTGATTAAAAGATTTTTGAGAGGATTGGGTAACCTGCATCCAACAATAAGGCCCCTGATGCCCACTTGGAGTCTTTCAGAAGTTTTACAAGCACTGACTTGGCCACCTTTCAAACCCATGGCGACGATCTACGCCTTGTCTCATGGAAGACTGTTTTCCTCGTAGCAGTTACTTCAGCCCGTAGATCTTCTGAGCTTTGTGCCCTTAGGGTAGACCCCGCTTTTCTGAATTTTCATAAGGAAAAGGTAGTTCTATGGCTGGATCCGTCCTTTCTTCCAAAAATCACTACTTCGTTTCACATGCAGCAAGAGATCGTTTTCCAGCCTTCTTTCCAACTCCTTCGAATCCGATAGAGAGATCTCTGCATATGCTGGATGTTTGTCATTGCTCAGCCTTTTATAGGTCCAGGACTGAGTCTGTTCGACACTCCAGTAGACTTTTTGTGAAATACTTGGAACATGACCGGGGCTATCCGGTCACTTCCCAACAACTTTCCAAATGGATAGTGAAAACAATTGTTCTGTCTTACCAGTTGGCTAAATTGGACTTACCATCTACTCCAAGTGGTCATTCTACAAGGGCTGTTGCTGCTTCTTTGGCCTTTGCATCGGGAGTCCCGATGGAAGACGTCTGCAGAGCTGCCACTTGGGCTACCCTGTGTACCTTCGCCAGATACTATAGATTGATGTTCGTGCCAGACAAGATTGCTCTTTTGGCAGGGCTGTTTTTTCTTCTGTTCTTCGTTGATGACACCTCCCTCCTCCAGTTTGGGTAAGCTTGTTATTCTACCTATATGTGTGATGCACAGAGGCTACGGCGAAGAAGAGCAGGTTGCTTACCTGTAACTGATGTTCTTCGAGTGGCCATCTGTGCAGTCACACAACCCACCTCCGACCCCGCTTGGTGTCATGGGTGGTCCGACTTCCTTCTCTTTGATGCTAGGATCTCTTTAGATATTTGTCGTACCACTGAAGTTTTGGTTTTTTGTCATGATGACAATAACTTTATTAAGGGAGCGAACGTCGGTCTTTCAAAGACTGGAAAATGGCAGACACTCTGCTCCTTTATACTGTATTTTTGTATTTTTAATTTAATGTTTATATTTATTGTAATTTATATTATAATTACTTTTAATTTATTGTTGTAAGCCACCCCGAGGCTTCGGCGAATGGGGCGGCATAAAAACGTTTTAATAAATAAATAAATAATGCTGGGGGGAGGGGGAGTGGAGTTCCCGCCAAAAACCGTTAGCTGTTAATCTTCCGGCCAAAGGCACTGCACAGGCGCAGAACCCATATGTGTGACTGCACAGATGGCCACTCGAAGAACATCAGGTACAGGTAAGCAACCTGCTCTTCTTGTTGTGGTTGGGGGTTAGCCCCTGAACACTGCATAATAATCTTCATTATTGTTGTGTGCATGTTTGTTTTGTATTTTGGTCAGACTTTTGGAAGTACTCTGTGACAGTGGAGGGGAAATTTGCACACTTGTTAGTTGCACACATTTCTGCACACATTTCTCTAATATTTTGATACTTTGTCAGACAATCTCAGTAAAGGCAGCAAGAAATGAGCTACAAAAAAGTAATGTCTCTTTTTTCTAGAATAGCTGCAGAATCAGGGAATTTCTGAGAAGACACTGAGAAGTGTCAGTACATGACTTTAAGGCAGGAGGGATCCTGTTCCCCTCCCCACGCCTTTTGCACATGTACTTCCTCGGCTTCCCCCCAAGTGCCCTCAGCGCTTCTCACTTGCACTCCAGGGTCTCGCCTTTGTCTCTCCTTTGTTATTTTCCCTTGTCCCCTGCAACTGGGCTCAAGTGAACCTGATAGGCAGCCTAGTCAACATTTGCATCAGAGAGCCTGATGCACACCCTGGCTATCAAAATAAAAAGTACATCCCAAATTGCACATTCCTGAGGTGCCTGAAATCAAAAAACTGGTGGATGGGCCACGACTGGGGAGATCTTGAAAAGCAGGTGGCAGCTGATCACTGCAACACAGTCAGGTTGGCTTCCTGGGTTCAAATAGCCCATTGAGGGCATGAGCAACCCTGCCTTGTTCCTTGGCTTGTCCTGCCAGAGGGAGTCAGCCCACCCTCTGGGTTCAGAGGACATGACAAGCCACCATGGCTGGCTGCCCATGGTGGGCTGTTGTGAGATGAGAGCCAGTCTTTGGGGGGCGGCAGTGGCTGCCGCTGCTCCGGAGAGCTGCCATGGAGGCTTCCTGGCTGCAGTCCCTGGAACAGGTGCTCCCCAGACCTCCCCTTGGGAATGCCAGGGGTGGCAGCATGGGGCCACCCAGAGGAAGGCATGCAGCAAGGGATGCCCTTCCTGAGGCACCGCTTGTGAGAAGGGGTTCAGCCTCCCTCACGGAGAGTCAGCCCAGTTCCCTTGTCCCTCCCTGCCGAGATCTTTTCTTCCCTCCCAGGAGGGGCAAGGGGCAGCAAATGGCAGGATGAATCACACCCTCTGAGCATCCTTTTGAACACTGAGCACCAGGCCGTGTGCCCATTTCTAATCGGCATTGATTGGCAGTAGATTTAGGACAAACAAAGGAAGTCCTTTGTTGAAGAATGCATGAAATGGACTCCCACAAAATGTGGTGAGGGCCAGTGGCTTAGATGGCACTGAGAAGGGAGCTGGCCAATTCAGGGACAAGAGCAAAGAAGCAGGTTTCGTACCTGTAGCACAAGAAAGCTTAATGGGATCTTAATGTCATAGAATGAGCTTAACTGGGGGGCTTGTGTGCTTCCCTGAACTAGGTTGACCTTTCTATTTGTACTGATTTCTTTGAATGATTTTATATCTTGCCTTTCCAAAAGGTTATCCTCAAGACAGCTAGCAACAGTAGTTAAAAACAATCAACAAAAGCAAGAATAAAGCAAAGTAGTAATGGCAAGAGAAGAGGTAGCCAAAACTCCAGATTTGATTTTAACCAATTCATTTAATCTTTCATTAAGAAAGAGTTTGAGCTGGACCAAAGGACCAGCTTATTCTGGATGACAAGGAAGCAGCAAAGATGAGGCCTCTTCAGAGATGCCATCTCACCATTTATGTGCCACAGTCAAGAAGCCCCATCCCTACGCAGGCTCCCTACCTGATGAGGAGGGCTGGAATAGCATGCTCTGATCTTGTGGGTTCCCTTTTATGTGAAGCTGTGTGGGGGACAAGCCTTGCTTACTGTCACAATGTGCTTTTTTGTGTGTTTCCCTGTGCAGATGATCTTTGGAGACCTTCTCAGATTCTGCTGGCTAATGGCAGTGGTGATACTTGGGTTTGCATCTGGTAGGTGACACATTCTAGGCTTTTGTGAAAAGCTTCACTGAAGCACTAGTGTTACTCTTGCACAGGTGAATGGTGGCTGGGCCATTACCTGGGCTGAGGCCAGAGATGGTCGTGGACGGTGGCCATCTTTTTTTTTAAATTGTTATATTGTTATTTATGTATTTATGTACTTTGTATCCTGTTGTGAGCCACCCCGGGGCTTCGTTGCGATGGGAGCGGCATAAAAATATTTTAAATAAATAAATAAATAAATCTTAGCAGCTTTGCCTGCTAACTTTAGGCTAATGGACGCAGACTGGGCTAGGCCAAGAGTGTTGCGGGGAGAGTGTTTTTGAGGAGGGGCTCTACTGAGGAGGGTGCCGCCATGTGCATGTTCCAGAGGGGCTTCCATGCACACACAGGGTGCAAGGGTGGATGATGGAGAGGCATCACACGCACCCTTGCCCAGAGAGGGAATAGGCAGATGTCCCAAAGGTGCTGTTGGGGTGAAGAGCCCCACCAAGCAGGACAAAAGTCCAGCACAAGCCAGCATTGAAGCAGGTGATTGCCTTCTCACCCTCTTCTGTTTTCTTTGCCAGCGTTCTACATCATCTTTCAAACAGAGGACCCTGATGAGTTGGGCCATTTCTACGATTACCCCATGGCGCTCTTCAGTACGTTTGAGCTCTTCCTCACCATCATTGATGGACCAGCCAACTATGAAGTCGACTTGCCTTTCATGTATGGCGTCACCTACTCTGCCTTTGCCGTCATTGCCACCCTCCTGATGCTCAACCTGCTGATTGCCATGATGGGTGATACCCACTGGCGTGTGGCCCATGAGCGGGACGAGCTTTGGCGAGCACAGGTGAGCGAGCGGTTTCGTCCTGGTTGACTGGTTGACTGGTGGTACACAAGAGAGGGAGGGAAATGAGGCACGAGAGAAGGGTGCTGTTAAGGGCAGCTTCTTGCTAATCAAAGCTAGTACACCATGTTGGCCGGAAAACTATGACAGTGGCTGTAGCTGCTGCTTGGAGGGGGCTCACATGCAGCCCACATCCTCTAAAATCTCTGCTAAGGGATCCATAATTTGCCATCAGATGCCACCTTCGAACACAACTAATAAATTATGTGTGAAATGGTCAATGGGTGACTCTGACATCTTTTCACCCCCAGTTTCTTTACATCGCAGGAAAAGAATACCTGGTTCAAAATACTTCTTAGTGTGCATTTCGTTCACTATTCTTCTGCATTCTTGCTGGGGATTTCTTTTCTGCTTTCATTGATTTTTGGAATGTCTGGGTCCCCTTTCCATTCTGCAGCGCTCTCAAGACAGCATGTCACCACCAGCACTCTCTGCCTATTTTTACTCCCCTTCTGACTTGAAAAGCCCTCCAAGCGAGTCACAAAGCAACGTTCAAGTGAGGCTTGGCTCTGTGCTGCTGGCACTCTCTGCCAGCCACCGACCAGGTGGAGGGAGGAGCTGAAGGCCCAGGGAGGGAGCCCTGCTGTTCTTGCTCGCTCTCTGCTGAAGTGTTTTGACCACCTGCCTGTTTTTGGCTGTGTTTCAGGTTGTTGCCACCACGGTGATGCTGGAGCGCAAGCTCCCACGCTGCCTCTGGCCTCGTTCTGGGATCAGGGGAAGGGAGTACGGGCTGGGTGACCAGTGGTATCTCAGGTATGTGCCACGTGTCTGGACCATGAGTGCTGCAGACCTGCGTCAAGGGAGAGCGCACCAGCATTATGCATGTACTTAACAGATGCACAAATGGCAGCGCCTGGAATATTCTTATGGGCGAAGAGCATTAGTGGGCAGGACTGAGGAGCAATGAAGTGACAGCTCAGAGGTGTTCATCCGGAGGAGGCCCCATGTGGGAGCAGCTTCAGTTGCTACGGTGGAAAGCAAGCATGCTGCCCCTCCAGACTCCCTCTGCTTCTCTGGTCCATATTGAGAATGTGCAGAGAACTGTTTCCTGGTTTGGATGCCCCCTGTTGGAGGGGTGTGGAAGCAACCAAGAAACAGTGCAATTGTTGCATGCGCAAAATTCAATGCTGCTGCCCTGTAGGTGTGTGTAGGATTGCACACTTTTGAGTTCCTATCCTATATGTCTGTGCAACTTAGACCACTGTATTGCTTTTAAAACATTCAATCTCCCAAGTTCATTCTGAAGTGGTAACAATCCAGGAAATGTATACATGAATTTGCTACCATCATTGATTGCATCTAAACCCTGTGCATTTACACTCACTCTTTAATTTCTCTGTTTCCCACATGGACCACAGAAGCACCTCTTGTTCTGCCAGCAGACAAGAGCTTAATAGTCCCTGGGCAACCATTTTCTGGATTGGTCTGTAAAGTAGTGATTTGGGATGCAGCTGTTCTACCCGCTGTTCCCCCCACCCAGCCCTGTGATGCACTGGCCATTTTTCTCTCTGTTCCCTCATACACTTCAGGGGATTCTGTACTAAATGGGATTGCATCATATTGTGCTGTGCCCAGTCAGACGTAGCTGCATGCTGACAACATTAAGAGCATGCAAATCTCCTTAGAGTGAGGGTGGTTCTTCCTGTATTGTCCACACAGGTGATCACAATCCAGGATTACACTCAGAAATGAGCAGTTCCTTTGCCATTATCTCTGCAAAACTGCTGAGCAGGGGCTCCCTTGTCAATTCAGAGGATAATCTTTTGCAAAACTGTCTCTTAGCACCCCCATCCAGGTGCATTTCAGCTCAGCTATACTTCCTATTGTGTTGGGACAACAGGAAGCCCCCACCTTGAACCATGCAATTTCAAAACTCTGGCAGCCCTAACATTTTCTTGCAAATTTTGACCAAGCAGGATCTCCCATGTGCCCCTCAAAATGTTGCTTTAGGTGACGCTTTCTGGGAACACCAGCTGTAACTCGCAGTGCTGGCCTACCTGCACTCGGGCTGTAGGCTCCGAGCTGCCAGCTGCGAAAGTGTGAAGGTGGTAGCACCAGCGTGTTGCTGCAGTCAGTGTCCGTCTACTGCACGTCGGTTCCCGCATGAAACAAACACATTTCCCTTTGTGGACAATTTGTTCTTGGTGTAAAAGTAGATTTCTGCAACTCCATATGCATACAATCTTCCTCAAGGTCCTGTGCATAAGCAGGCATGGCGTTCGCTGTTGTGCAGTTCGTTTACATCTGATCCACTCTTAACCTCTGTGTATTATTAAAATGAATAGCTTTGCCCAGTCAGCTGTCAGGGCAGCCTGTGACTGCCACATCTGCAGCTCCAATGATTCCTGCAGCTCTTTTCAAAAGGAGGCCGCTCCATTCATTTTCTCCCCTGGCAGGCTGAGAGCACAGGGCTGTTCATTTGTTAGTAATGGGTAGCATTTTTCCACATGCTGCATGCAGACTTTCCAAAACAACCCTAATTTCCTTCATGAATTTGGAAAACTGCCAGGACAATGAAGGTGATACTTCTGGAGAATGAGGGTCTCAGATGAATGTACGGAGCAGCCTTGCTCCTGCCAGGAGCCATAGGGTTGGATTGCAGGTCCCCCAGCTCGACTGCAGCCTTGCTTTCCAGATGGAGGGGAGGCCATGGGCTGCCCCACAGAAGGCTTGACTTGGAGTCCAGCACTGAGCAGGAGGTTGCACCCAGTGGCTTCTCCCAGCTCTAGCGGTCTTTGGTTCCCTCCTCGAAGTGAGCCAGGCTGACTTTCTGAGAATCTGGACAGGATGGCTGCTGTAGCCACAGGCAACTGCCCTGGCCACAGATGCCTGCCCAACTCTAGCACCTTCTGCGCATGGTGGTGCTGCTTCCCCTAAGGCAGGAATGTGGGCAGGTGCCAGGCACTGAGGCATCCTGAGAGGACCTCAGCCCTTCGAGGAGCAACCGAGCAAGAGAGACCTACCCCAAAAGAGCTCCTGGCATGCTGGTTTCATGAGCCCCCTCTGCACCAGTAATGGTGTTGCAAAGTGGGAAATGGCCACAGCGACAGCTTTACGGTGCCAGCCCTCTCCAGCAGCCTCCCTGCCAAAAGGCACCCTGGCACTCCCTGCACTGCATCAGCATCAGCATTAGCATCAGCTGCAAACATGAGTCAGGGAAATGTTCGCACTCTGGAACCATCTGCAATTGTTCCAGGCATATGCAGGCAAGCAGCTGGTGCAGGCAGCAGGCCATCACTCTAATCGCACCATGTAATTTAATTAGTTTTGTTTGGGGGAGGGTCTGCCTGCCCCTTTGACGTCTGGCGCCGTCTACGGCTGGTGATGGGCCACAGCCAAGATCACTGCATTGTAGTCCTCTTGCTTTTCTGCTCTGCATCATCCCTGCAAGGACACAAGTGGGAAGCCTTTCTGTTTCTAGCACCCAGAGGCTACGTGGACACAGGGTCTTGTGCCATGGCCCAATCTTCATACCACAAGTAATGCTGCACTGAAGTGGATTGGCTTTCTTAGCAAAAGGGCTGTGCCTTCCCTGCTCGTAACCCTGAGTTGGGTTAGGAGGAAGGACCCTTCCTTTGCCTCTCAAGCACACAGTTGCAGAGGATTTCTCTGGGGCTGCACAAGTGTTGCCTGCAGCCCTGGACACAAAAGTACCTGCTGCATCAAGCCTGCAGGTAATTGATCACCTTCTAAAGTTGGAAGCAAACATCTCTTTATCTGCTAAAGGGAGGCACGGACAGACAAACACCAGAGCAAACCATTGTCAGGAAGTGAAGTGAAAAAATGAAAAAGCCAACACAAAACCTCACAACTACAAACCAAGTATGCCAGTGAACTGAGCTTGCAGTTCTGCCCACCTGGCAGCCAGCAGGAATCCCTCCTTGTCCCCCTCTCCCAGCTCCAGTAATGCAGCTGTGGGAGGGGGCAGTGATTCCCCACAGCCCAACAGTTATTCCCTAATTTTGGTTTTGCTTGCTCTGTCCTGGAGCTGGCATCGTGTCCTTTCAGTCACAGAGAGTATCTCAGCTCCTTGTCCAAAAGCTCTGGGCTTCAGGCATTCTAGAGTTCTGCTACCAGCTCGAGTGGAAGTAGCCCGATATTTTGGAGTGTGTGTTTCTTGGGCTCCTTGTATGTTGCATTTTTCAGATAGTGTCTCTCACTAGAGATGCAGCACTTGAACCTCCACAAAGGATATTTGTGGAGCCCATAGTTTTGTGGGAGGAATGTGCAAACTGGCTTTCTCTGGTAGTCAGGACCGCTTCGATTGCACACACAGCAAGAGTCGGGCCAGACAGTCAAACTGAAGTACCTGAGCAGTCCTGACACTGCAGCAAGTTGGGGAATCAGACTTTTTTATATACAAAATTTTGTAAATGGCTCTGCCAAAAAGTAAACATATGACACAGCATTCCAGAGCAAAGTCACTGTATCATGAAAGTCACTGTTCAAGTTAAAAAACAACAACAATGTTGACTCTTCCATTTCAGAGGTGACCCAAGTCAAAGGAAGGGGACTGGTCCAGATCTCCCCTAGTCTCAACTTTTGTCAAGAAAGGAGCACCTAAGGCCTGCCCAGCTCCACTCACCTTTGCCTTGCTTGGCTGCATCGGTACCCTTTGGGCTCCCTTGGCTGTGTTGCTGCCTGGTCCTTACCCTCACTGCCCCCGGCTGCAAGGAGCCAACAGGTTGTGGCGCCCCGTGGAGCTCTTCCCAGAGCCCACCATCTTATGTGGAATGTGGCTTTGTGACAGCCTTGCACAGGTTGCCACAGCCAAGAGAGCTTCAGAAATGGAAAAATGCACAGACCATGTAATCAGCATAGTGAGTGTGTGAGGCGGTCCCAGAGTAGTCCTGTGGCTGCTGAGCCTGGTCCAGACAGACAAAGAATTTTTTGGGTTCCCATCTATGAGGTTGGAGCACTTCCCCAGCTCCATAGCTGGGAATCAGGCCTTTCTTCCATGGCCCAGCTGGTGCATGGCTGCTTCTACAAGGGTATAACAGCTGACCTTGGAGGGGGGCTTGGGTGGAGCAGAGGGGCCACGAGAGGAAGAGACCGATGTCACACTGTTGCCTTGGCCTCTTTCCCTTCTGCTCTGAAGCATCACACCAGGCAGCTGAAATTGGCCGTCAAAGTGCTTGGTTGAGTGAGAGGAGTGCAGAACTAGCTTCCGCGCCCCTCCCACCTTCCCGAGCCTGCCCCTAATCCTCTGAGTTGGAGCGTTACAGGCATCCCCATAGAAGCATGCCCAAAAGTTGTAAGGAAAGAAGAAAAAAACAAGGACTGCAAAGAACAGCACGGAGTGAATGCTGTTAGGTGTGAGTTAGGCTGTTAGGCATGAGTGCGCCATCCATGTGGCGTGTCTTGCGGCTTATGAACAAACGCTTGTCAAACATAAAATTCTGCCGAGAAGACAGTGCAGGGTTGTCCTGGCCTGTATGCCTCTCCTGCGTGGCGGCAGCACTTGGTCCCACCCGCTGGGGAGACGCTTGCAAGGGATGACTTGCATGGAGAATTCTGCATCGATGCTGCGAATGCGCTCTTAGGGGCAGGGATCTGACTCTCTGCACCTCTGTGCTTGTAGGGAAAGCAAAGTAACCCGCCAGCAGGGTCAGCAGCTTTTTGCCCTGCCATACAGTAGAATCATATCCTGATTGGATTCCTTCTAAACTGCATGGACCTTTCTGCTGCATCATGCATTCCTGCTTCTTTTCCTTTCAGAAAATCCGGTGCAAATGATTCCAACAGGTTGCATTTATGCACAATACCTGATGACGGAAAGGAAAATGGCCACTGCTGCTATGCTAGCAGGCTTAGAGTGGGAAAAGGGGTTTTCTTGCTCCTGCTTTGGAATTCAGGCAAAAGCAGGGATGTCGTGACACTGCTGGGAATGAGTGGATTTGGGCAGTGCTCAAATTACTGGGGGAAAGTGGGCCTTAATGCAGTCCGCATACAAGCCATGTATTCAGTACAAACCCCAATCACTAAGTCTCCAGCATGCCCAGTAGCTGTATCAAAACGGTAGGTTAAGGAGCTTCCATTTACAAAAGGGGTCTGGAGCAATTTTGGACCTCCCAATTTGTTTTCCCTGGTTTTCAGCTTTTATGTGAAAAATTAAAGTTAACATCGCTTTTACTGAAGGAAGAGTAAAGAAAACAATGCAGGAGGAATTTTACATGGTTGTTGATCTAAAAGTCAGCTTTTGTGCCCATTAATAATGGCCCCTGCCTCCCGCTGCACTGGATCATCATCATCATCATCAGCTCCTCCCCTTCTGGGTCCTCATTCCATCATCGCAAGCAGACCCCTTGGGGAAGGGCACAGCTCCTCTCCCCAGTCACCCTCTCTCACTGCTCTGAGGTTCCCCAAAGGTGCTGCATCCAAGCCCAGATATTTCCAGCAATGGATGGGGCAGGAATCACGGTAGTGTAAATGAAGCTACATACCTGATTTCCTTCCAAACCCCTTGATTCAGGTGTTTGAGAAATTTTAATGTGTGAGCAGTCGTGTTGATGCTTGCGGCAGTTCAGCTTCTGTCTGCAGGTTTGAAAAAGGAGGGGTGGCACCAAACCACATGCTCTTGATGACTTTGGTAACAATCTCTCCTGCAGGGTTGAAGGTCGGTGTGAAATGCGGCAGCAGAAGCAGCAGCTGGGTGCGAGGAACTGTGAGCCTCACCGAAGAGATGCCTTCCAAAAGTACTTGAAGGCCAAAGTGGTTCTGCATACAGAAGATGGTGAACAGGCTTATTCAAGCAAGCAGCTGGCCTTTAGCACTTCCCCTGACACTCCAAATTTATCACGGAAGAGTTCAAATTGTGCCTGGAACATCTTAAGGCACAACACGCTGAGCCATCTACAGGGATATACAAATTATGCCATGGAAGAGGAGATCTACCATGTGTAAGCTCAGGAAGAATTATTGCCTCCGGGCCCACGGATTGTGCCAGCTTAAATTTTTGGCACTGGTTATTGTTAAATGGTTGTAGAAGGTTTGCAACATTTGCTGTGGGCAGACTCAGGAAAGATTGTTGTTGATGTAAAAGTGCAAGAAAGTACACCAAAGGTTTAGCACCGAGAGAAATCCAGGGAATTCGGGGGAGATGGCCTGGATTGTGGCATCCACTTTTATTTCACAAACTTTCTTATGTATTTGCAAATCTTAGGCTTTCAGTGGGTGGCCTAGAGAAGACTGGTCTACATTTGCTGGTGGTACTGGAGAACACGGTTCTTCTCCTTTGCTCAAAGCTCTGTATATTTCACAAAACTCCCGAGTGGTGTCAAGAGGAGGGAATGACCATTCTGTTATCTGCACCTTCTCAGAGCAAGAAGAACGTCTGAAGGAGCATTCGACATTTCCCCATCTCTATCTAGCAGGGACAGGGCTGTCCCAAGGCTGAACAACAGATGCAGGAACTGACTTGGGGGCTGCTGCTCACCTGGGAGCTACTGCCTGGCCTGAATGTGGCACAGCGTCTGGGAGCTTCCAAGCACCGGCCTGCCCTTGCCTGGCTGCTTGGGCTGCCTGAGCTGGGTCAGGCGAGAGAACCCTGCAGAACCATTTGGCCCTCGAGGCAGAGAGGCTAGTGAGCAACCACCATTGCTGGTGAAATAATGGTATAACACAAATGGGTGTAGATTATCTGGCTAATAAGATAATCCAAGAACCCCTGGTTCAAATGAAATACCTTTCTTGAGCAACTAGGAGAAGCATTTTCCTGCATTATGACACTTGGAGTCAAACTTGTTTGTTAATGCCTAGAAAGTACTGGCTATTGGGCAATAAAAATGAAATAAATAGATATCTTTTTTAAAAAATCTGTAGCACTGGTAGGTTCTATGGGACTACTTGCTTCCTGGTGAACATTGCAAATCGCAGTGTACCTAACCCAACATACAAAATGAACTTTTTATCACCAATCTTATTACACCAGTATGAGTATGTATAATAGGCTTTGTTGCGATGGGGGCGGCATAGAAGTGTTTTAAATAAATAAATCAATAAATATAATAAGAAGAAAATACTACAACCCCTGCACGCAAGTCACTGGCAACAACACTAATACCAATAAAACTGACTGTAGAGCCACAAAGTTCAAAAGTCCTTTTGAATCCAGTTCAAACAAAGGAATCTAAATTGTCCTCTTCAACCGTCTGAACACAGGAGAGGTGGCTGCATGTGTGGAATCCTCAAAACTCTGGAAAAAATGTCAATTTAATTGCATATCCTTGAATGCATTATGTGGACTTGCTCCCCCCCCCCCCAACATGTAGGAGTGTTACTGAAAGCAAGCGGGCAAGCCTTGGTGGCTACAGGAGCTCCTGCCCCTTCAGCTCTCCTTTTTATCTGAATTTCTCACAGCCTGCTCTTTTCTTAGTCCCGCCCCCTTGGGCTGTACCATTATTTCATGGGGGTTGCACTAGCATTCCTTGAAGCCAGCCCAGCAGAGGCTTCCTCCCAGTCCGATCGTGTACTTCTGGGCTCACCGCGACTTCTCTGCTTTTTCAGAAGACTTCCTTTTTTCCTTTTCTAATTGCAGAAGCCCTGCTTTGCAGTCCCAACCTTTGTACCTGCAGGCTGCCCCTCCAAGGCCCTCAGTATGCTCTCAAGGCAGTTGGATATGGAGGGGCTACCTGCCCCCCCCCCACTTTGTCAGAGTGGATGAGATGCCCTGAGAGGAGGCAGGCTGCTCGGCAGGGTCAGGCAGCTGGGCTCTCTGTGGGGAACCCCGGAGCTTCCCATTCCCCAAATGCCAGGAACTCGGGGTCAGAGGCCACTGGAGGGGCTCCATGGCCCCCGTAATTCTGCACACAAACCCTTGAGAGCCTGTGGCAAGGGGGAAGATGGGATGAATCCCTGTGTGGCCTGGGCTTTGCTCTTGTCACGGGACACTTGCGTCTCCTGGTCACCCACACCTGGGACAGCTCAGGCAACCCAAGGCCACACCTTCCCACCCCACACCAAGCAAAGCTGCTGCTGCTGCTTACCACACCCCACCACCTGGTTTTGTCAGGTGCTTGCAAAGGGCTGTTGCATTTGCTTTGCTTTTCAGAACATGCATCCTGTGTGGCCCCTAAGAAAGAGGAGATCGCACAGCAAAGCAGATGGAAGGAAAAGCCCTTCTGGTGCCACACATGGCTGTGTGCAAAGAGCTGCCTGCCTCGAGTCCCTGAAAAGTGGCGGGGAGTCCCTGGCAGCCCTGCACGAAGCCCTGGCACATGTGGGGCTGCTGGTTCTGGCCCACAGCTCCCACCTCCCCAGCCTTTACCTTTGCCTGCCCTGGTTGTGCCAAGGGGGCAGTTTGGGGGGATGGAAAGAGACACTTTTCTGCATAAAGCAGCTCAGTAAAAAGGTCTTTCTCTCTCTCTCTCTCTTTTTTTTAAAGGGGAGGCCTTGGGTGTCTCTTCCAAGATACTGTAGGGGTCCTTGGAGGAGCATCTTGTGGGTGCTCCCTTGGAGATTCCAAAGAGAGTTTGCCAGTCGGCTTTCACGGCCACAGAAACCTCCCTCCCCCACTTCCGTGTTGACTGAAAAAGTTTTCAGGACTGTAGCAGGGAGTGGGGACCCCCTCGGTGTTTCCTCAGTGCCCTCCAGCTTCCCTGCAGGAAGACTGATCCGGGAGCCATGTTTTGGCTTTTGGGGCAAGACAAGATCCCACTCTGTGTGGTGCAGTGAGCCAGAGGTTTAAATTCCTGTGCAAACTCTCCCAGTCTGAAACAGCAGGCATCATGCGTGACTTCCCTCCATCCCAGATGTATTGCACTATTTGTTCCGCACACTTTAGACTCACTAAGTCTCAGTGAAGGACTTTACAAACTCTCTTAGAAAATGTGTTGCACTGCCCAGCTGAGCTGAACAGTAAAACATTTTTATGTTAGGAATTTCTTAGGAAATTTAATCTATACCCTTGCAGTTAAAATGGCGCCCTGCTTGATCTGCACCTGGATTGCAGAAGGCAAGCGTTTGGCCTTATTAGAGCAACTTTCTAAGTTTAGGAACATTGTTCTTTCTCATGGCTGTTCCTTCAGATCAAAAGTCTCTTATCTTCAGAACAGGGTTGGCAGAAACTTTTCCCTCATTCTCTTTATCTCCATTATTTGTGGATCTTGCTCACCCACTCTACTTTGCCTCACTTTGCCCTTTCTTACCATATCCTCTCTCCCCTTCTTTCCTCCTCCTCTCTGTGCTGTCTTGCCGAGGGGTCATGGAAACACACATGGATGTGTCATCCATCATATTTACTGTGTGTTACCAAGGGCAAGAAGAGGAAGCAGGCTGCTAAGCTTCTGTTTTTGACTAGAGTTGTCACCAAGAAGAAAATGGGCTCTTTGTTTGCAAGTGCTAATACAATTGCATGCATTTTGAAACTACCTTTGGGATGGAGAGTTCTAAAAGTTGGGTAAGAAAAGGAACCTGGAGCGAGCAACCAAGTCCTGTCACTCATGTTCTAAGTCTCTTCAGCACTCCCACAATGTAACCCTATTTTTTCTGCTTGTACTTGTAAATTTTCACTTGTTGTTTTGTCTTTGTTGGATTAAACTTCCTTTTCTGCCCAGACCCATAATTTCTTGTGTTTAATGTTGATGTCAAAGGATAATTTTGGAAGAGGCTTCACTCCGTGTTCAGTGGGTTGTGTGGAGAAATTTCAAGCCATTTTGTTCCTTCATTGAGGAAACAAGTCCAGGGGATGCTTGCAAAGCTGGTCTTGCAGGATCGTGGGCATCCAGTGCCAAGGGTGAGAGCAGTGCATGCAGCTTTCCCTTCCCACGCCTCCTGCTCTTGCATTTTGTGAGATGGTTTTCTTGGGCCATCGAGTGATGCCATTTCGGAGGGGCAGAGAAAGAGGTGGAGCGTCTTTGGGTACCTTCTGGCCTCCCCAGTCCAGTCTCCTCGCGTCGCATCTCCCTTTGCCGCCTGATCCCAGCTCCAGTTCAGAGCTCCACTTCCTAGCTCTGAGGTCAGAGTGCTGCGTTCAGCCTGAGCACTAGACATCGGATCTGTTCTCTGGCCCACAGGCAGTGGGCTCTGGGATCAACCCTCCCATGCAATTAGTCTTCTTTTCTTGTATTTCTTGATCCCAATACATGAGATCTCTTCCCAGCACCACAGCGTTTCACTCTATCACTGCATTCACCTTGCCAAAGCAATGCTGCACCATCCATTCAGCAAGCAGATCATCTTAGCACAGCTACCACCTAAGGAAGCTTATGAAGTTGGTGTACTTCTCCATTCACTCTGATGGATGGACAGAGAAGACCTCCTACCTGACCAGTGGAAACAGGTTGCCCTGTGCATGTCATATTGCCATTTATCAGCTGGTCGTATGTATCATCCTGCCAAGCAGTGCACCCCACAAAACTGTACCCCACTTTTGCCTCAAAGCAGAAATCGATGTGACACGGCCAATAGTGATGACAAAAGGATGAACCTCGTGAACTGGGCAAACAGCCATCATAAGAAGCATGGCATACCTTCACTACTCCCCCCACCTGCGTCAAGATGTATTACATGTATTATAATGTTTTTGGGGTGAGCTGAAGGGTCTGAACTGGAGTGGTGAATTTTATTTTAGAGCATTCCATTTAAAAGGCCATTTAAAAGGAGGTCATGTCCCCAAGGGAAAAGCTACCCAGGGAAACACTTAGATAAGTGATGTCCCACTCGTTCCGCATGAGGGAATGTTTTCACATTTGAGGTTCAGGGAGCCGTGGAAATCCAGCAAACATTTTTTGTGGCAGTGGGGAAGAGGCAGAGACACACGTCCCCAAATGCACTGAGGTGAGGAGGGCCGTGGGGGGGGGCGGGATGCCAAGCGCTCCCCCAAAGAAGCGACTGCCCCGCATGGCTTGCCAAGCTACACTAACCTACAACCAGCACCTCTGCAAGCCATCCAGGAATGTCTCGTAAAGGATGGGGTATACATATTGTAGATATTAAATAAATTTTAAAAGATGGTATTTAGTCATAGAACACCCTCACATAGTGCTGAAGAAGAGCTCACACTCCTGGGGAACTCAGAAGACCAACTCAGACTATTAACTGCTGGCCAGAGGGGTTTGGTGTCGCAGTTGCATTGTGGGGGGAAACCTATGCTGAAGCTGAGCCTGGCAGTATGCATGGGAGAACTGTGTTCAGGGTGCAGCGCAAAAGCCCCTGACCTCTACAGCTTCACGCCCACTGTCCTATGTCACAATGCTGCTTCGAGCAGCCTAGGATGCTTGGTCTGCAGTGCTGACCTGCCAGCACAACTGTCAGGAGACAGACGGGACTGGCATCACCTTCACTTTCTGGCATGGACAGACTGAGAAGTGCACAGAGAGGCGGAGAAATGTTCCCAGACAGGATGGTAAGCGGCTCACTCAGCTTGCAGCCAGGATTGAGTCAGATGATCTGGTTTTGGACGCAAGTGGAAGACATTCTCATATCAGTCCAACGAACTGCCAGTAATTCAGAGGCAAAGCTGTCTACCGAATCCAGCTTGCCTTTCCCTTTCTTTTCCAGATTTTACTAGAGGGGAATATATATTCCAAGCTGTGGGGGTTGGGAAAGTCACCAAAATGAACAATGTTGATCCATAGGAGTCATTACTAAACTCAGGGATTTTTCAACAGAATTTGTGGTAGATACAGTCAAAATGAGTGCTTCAAGTGCTTCAAGAACCGTAGACATCAGAGGGGATGGCTAATTGATTACATTAGTGGAAGTCTCACTCATGCTGATGAGACTTCAGCCTGATCACCCGTCTCTGGACCCGGGCTCTCATGGTTTGAGAAAAAGGATGCCATCTCTTCCCTTCTCCAGAGTAATGAAAGTATTCTAAAGGAACACCGCAATGTCTGTGTCAGACTATGCATGCATTTAAATTAATGTTTAGAACTTGGTAAACCAGACACTACCATGAGAATACTGAGAATGCCCCAAACCGGGGCATGTAAGAGGGACAGCCATCCAAAATGTGAAGTCCCCATGTCTTAGGCATTTGCTGCAAAATATATGCCTAAATTTCCCTACTTGCCAGAATTAACCATAGTTAACCATAATTAAATGCAATGATTAAATTAACCAGAATTAAAAACATTTCTAATTGAATCTGGTACAGTTGAAGTCTGCATTTAGGCAAGGTTTAATTGTGAAATGCCTGGGCTCCTCTTTGACGTAGGTGCCCTTCCTGCCACAAATGCTCTCTCGACA